TAATCATTCTGTCATGATGATAACTTACGACTTGAAAAAATAACTTCAACAATCCAAATACGTACCCAATCATTAGGCTTTAATATGCTACTCTAGGGGTGGACCCGTTCGGGCCTGGGCCCGGCCGGGCCTTGGTTCATGAAGGGGGAGGCCCGGAACCGGCCCGGGTAACCCCCGTGTCCGGGCCGGGTCGGGCCTCGGTTCTATATTTTTTTTTGGCTTTTCCTAGCTAACCCCCAACCCTCCCCCTCACCCCCAAACCAATCCTAACCACCTCAAATGGACCAAAATACCTAGCCCAACCCAAAAACTTAAAAAAAAAATCAAAATTTTTTTTTAATAAATTGGCCCGGCCCGGGCCCGAACTGGCCGGGCCGGTTCACCTTTTGAAGGGTTCGAGCCCGAACCGTCATCCCACCGGGTCGGGTGGACCGAACCGAGCAACCAACCGGTTCACCGGGCCGGTCCGGGCCTGCACAGTAGCGGGCCGGTCCAGTTTCGGGCCGGTTGGCCCGGCCCGACTCCACTCCTATGCTACTCTTGCCTATTGAGTCATATTTTTAAAATTAATATGGAAAAAGATGTGTATTGAACCTCAGTGAGAAAAGTACATGAGAAGTTTCGTTTCACCGAAGATCTGTCCAGAAAATTAATCTTCTCTTGTACTTTTCAGGCCATCACAGTCTATCCTAGGGTCGGGGTGGACCGGTTCCGGTTCGGGCCCGGCCGGACCTCGGTTCATGAAAGGGGAGGCCCGGAACCGGCCCGGGTAACCCCGGGTCCGGGCCGGGCCGGGTAACCCCGGGTCCGGTCCGGGCCGGGCCGAGCCGGGCCTCAGTTCTTGTATTTTTTTTGGCTTTTCCTATTTAACCCCCAACCCTCCCCCCTCACCCCCAAACCACCTCAAATGGCCCATCATACCCAGCCCAACCCAAAAACTTAAAATAAATTCAAAAAAAAAATCAAAAAAATAAATTGGCCCGGACCGGGCCCGAACTGGCCGGACCGGTTCACGATTTAGGAGGCCCGGGCCCGGACCGCCTACCTCACCAGGCCGGGTGGACCGAACCGGGCACCAACCGGTTCACTGGGTTGGCCCGGCCCGAGTCCACTCCTATCCTAGGGATGGGTTGGGGCCAGGTGGACCGGAACCGGCCCGACCCACCCGATCGGGTCCGGGCTGGGTCCTATATACCCGAACCGCCCATAATCGGGTCGGGCTCCGGGTCCACAGAAATCGAACCGGCCCGGTACGGGCCTCCAACGGTCACAATCTTAATTTCTTTTTAAAAAGGCCCCTCCTAGCTGTTGGGAACAATCCCAAACGGCTCTATAGCCGTTGGAGGGGTTAGAGGGGGTCCAAGGGGGTATGGGGGTGGGGGTGGGTAAAATAAACTATAAATACTTCTATTTTCTAGACAATTTTCTACACATCTTCTCCAACTCTTCCTACTCTCTATTCTCTAATATTCTTAATCATCCCCATCTTCATCTTTTTCAATTCTCTCTACATATATTTATACAATTATTATATATATCTACTTAATATATACTTCATATCTACTTAATATCTATTTACTATATTATTGTTATTTACTTATATTTACATATTACATCTAATTAATAGATATTATATATATTAAAGTATTAAATATAAGTGTCTTACTCATCTTATAGTAATATACTTATATATTATATGCTATAAACATTATATTATATATTAGTTAAACAATTATTATATATACTTATATACTCATAACTTATTATCTACTTATAAATACATATATTAAATACACACACACACACACACACACACACACACACACACACACACACACACACACACACACATATATATGTTGGGATATTGACCTAGAGGCCCAATACCCAGATCGGGAAGGCCCAAGGTATCCGGCCCAAGTAACAGGCCGATCACTCCATGATGAAAAGATCCAGTAAGGAGACATACCGAACGGGGTTCGGCCCAAATAAAGGTTGGCCCAATAAGAAGACATACCGAACGAGGTTCGGGCTATATATCATACTTGGGCCAATTTGACAGCATCTTCAGTACGGACCAACATCCCGTTCGAGCAATGGCCAACCAGCAAGTGGCCAGGTGCAGTTAATGCCAGACTATGACATCAGCAAGTGGAAGCATGGATGACCAAGTCGGTGGAACAACGGCCAATCAGCAAGAGGCAGCCCATGCTCTCCATTAGTATAAATAGAAGGTTTCAAGTCATTGTAAGGGTTAGCATTTCAATACTCAAGCTCTAGAATAGCATCATTTGCTCTTATTTCTTGTATTAAGGCATAGTTTCCGACTTATCGATCGGGAAATCCCTTGTAATCAGATTGATTAATTAATACAAGTGAGCTTTCGAGTTTTAGTTAGTTCAGATCTTATATTTTCTCGTACACCTTGATTCTGGGCCATTCCTGATATATCCAAAGTTCGTGTTGGGCTTTCGGATCTACGGGACTTACCCTCAACATTGACGCCGTCTGTGGGAAGGCCCCTACCAAGTATGTAAGAAGTATGCTTCAGGAACGTTTGGCCTACAAAATACCGAAGGCCGACCGGCAGTAACCTGGAATGTAGAGCATCTGAGGAGATTTTATCAGTAAAAACGGCTGTTGCCACCTCTAAAATATATATATATATATATATATATATATATATATATATAGAGAGAGAGAGAGAGAGAGAGGGAGACATAACTTCCACAAACTCAGCCCATGGTTAACTCGATCATTCCGGATAACCGGATGACGAACGGGTTAACAACATGGAAGGAAAATCAATTCTCAGTTTAGAGAGTTTTTGACCCTAGAATTACGAAAGAATAAAGGGATCAAAAACGGATTGAAGAATTGAGGCTCAGAAAATCGGTGCCCATGGTTAACTCGATCATTCCGGATGACCGAATGACGAACGAGTTAATTCCATGGAAGGAAAATCAATTCTCAGTTTAGAGAGTTTTTGACCCTAGATTTATGTAAGAATAAAGGGATCAAAAATGGCTTGAAGAATTGAGGCTCAGAAAATCGGTGCCCATGGTTAACTCAATCATTCCGGATGACCGAATGACGAACGGGTTAATTCCATGGAAGGAAAGTCATTCTCAGCCAAACGACTGGGAGTTTGACGCTCAGATAGTCTCACCTCAGCGGTTAATATGAGAATCGATTCGGGAAAACCGAATGACGAACATATTAGCAGTTTGGAGGGAGCCATACATTTCAGCAAGAGTTTTGACCCTGTAATTACGCATTGATGAAGGGATCAAAATGGCCTGGAGTTCGAAGGACAGTGATTCTCACCTCAGCTTGTTAACACGTGGAATCATTCTGGATGACCGAATGACGAACGGGTTAACAGCTTGGAGGGAGCTGAGTCGTCAACTTAGCCAAAGTCGACCCTGTAATTACGTACGGGCAAAGGGATCAAAACGGCTTGGTGGTGGTGTCAAGACTGTAAGATATGGATTAACCGAGCGACGTTCGGATAAGGTACAGATTGTCGTCCGGGGAATCGGAACTATGGTTTTGAAAAATCTCGCCTCAGTCATAAAACTTGACTTGGAAGCTAGTCGCCCTTTTAGCTATAAGTAAGAAATGACCCAACTTCGGTGATCTTGCTTACAGTTCGGAAGGGGTTACCTCAGACCCCTAATATGGATGATACGAGCCAGAGAAAACAGTTCGGAATGCATCGGAATTATGGGTTTGGAAGGAGAGAGCCTCATCTCAGCTGGTTAACGCATGAAATCATTATGGATGACCGAATGACGAACGGGTTAGCAGTTTGGAGGGAGCCCCTATCCCAGCCGAGAGTTTGACCCTATGGTCACGATCAAAACGGCCTGGAGGAATTCACCTCAGCTAAGAGTTTTGAACCCGTGCGTCACGAACAGGAAAAGGGATCAAAACGGGTTCGGGAAGGTGTCAGAACAATTATGAAGAGAGTCTCACCTCAGCTTGTTAACACGCGAAATCATTCCGGATGACCGAATGTCGAACGTATTAACAGCTTGGAGGGAGCCCCTATTCCGGCCGAGAGTTTGACCCTGTGGTCACGATCAAAACAGCTTGGAGGAATTCACCTCAGCTAAGAGTTTTGAACCCGTGCGTCACGAACAGGAAAAGGGATCAAAACGGGTTCAGAAAAGGTGTCAGATATAAAGATACATGAGCCGGGTGAAGTTCGGCCATGTAGAAAAGATTGTGAACAAAAAATCAAAGGAATAGAAAAAGTACAACAGACAAAGGAAAAAAGTCCAGTTTATTCTTCGGCGTTACTAGCCGGAATATACAAGAACAAATATACAAGGAAGAAGACAACAGATAAGGAAAGGCTACACTAATGGATGATCGCCGTTCGGGGAGGACGTAGGCTGAGAGCTCCCTGCCTGCACTGCATCGTCAGACGCTGCTTTGGATCTTTTTTCCATGACGCGATCGTACGTATTCCCGAACAGATCATCGAAGCCTAGTTCATCAGGATCGAACGGCTTGGGGAAACGCTCTAAGATCAGTTCAAGATTCCTATCCAGAAGCAGGTCCTGACTTTGCTTTACGGTTTTCTCGGTCAGGACATCCAAGAAAGATTTCCCTTCCGGCGTGCTGTCCAGGAGGTCGATCCCTGCCTTGATGGGATCTGAGCTCTCACGCAAAAATTGGCCAAGGTGAGGACCTAGGAATTGCCGGGCCGTGTTCTCCAGAGCGAGGTTCAGCGCCTTGCCCCGTTGGAAATCCACTACCGATTGCTGAGCAATCTGAGAGGTATTGACCGTGTAGGGTTCGGGCAGATGATCTCCGACAGCCTTATCAAATTTAATGCCAGCAGATTCAGCAGCCCACACCTTGGCCCGGAGTTCTTTGAGCTCCCGGTTGCGACGACGGGACGTCTCCTGCATCTCGGTCAGGGCAACTTTTGCCTTCTCACCCTCTTTGGCCTGCTCTTGGAGGTCGGTCGCTAACTTCCGAGCCGCGGAAAGAAGGACCTGGCCGTCATCCCGATCACTGGCCAGGGCTTTCATCTCCTTCTCAGCAGCAAGAAAGGCTTTGTGATAGTACACGCCAGCCTGAAAACAAGGTTACAATGAAAGTCAGAAAAGGTAAAGCATGAGTAATAGAAAGGTATGGGTCGGACTGAAATGTACCTTGAGTGCTTCCTGGTGACCTGCTTCGAAAAGGTCCGACCAGTGAGTCAAGTTAGTGAAGCTCGGGGGAACTTTGATCGCAGTATGACACCACATAGAAGATGGCATCAACCCGAACAGATACCTCCCTTCCGATCTGGGCCCCATATTTGAGAACTCAACAAACATCCGATCATCGATCGGTGTGGCAGTAAGAACCGGAGTTTGTTTGTTGGCAGGCACTGATCTTTTGAGCTCAACCTCCGGCCCGGTCAAGTCAACCACGTGGTCGATCGGGATCAGGTGATCGCCATCATTTCCTTTGTGCTTTTTGCGGGTTTGCTCCGCCGAATCACGATCGGCTATCATCTTCTCTTTCCCTTTAGCAGAGGAGATAGAACGCCGGACGGGTATGGGAGAGATCACACCTACAAGAAAGAGAAATAAAAAATAAGAAAGTTGAATTGTGAGAGCGAAGGATGATCGGGTTAAAACCCTACTATGCTTACCAATTCCAGCAGATAACATGCTCGAGGCAGTGACAAAGCTGCGAAGACTTCTAGTCCCTCCCATTCGCAGAGACTCAGCCTGGGAGCGTAGAACGACATCCACCCTGGGCAGGGAATCCCGAACGGGATATGCGTTCCACCGGTCCGGGAATGGCAAAGAATCACCTACCCGAACGAACAAAAACCGCTCTTCCCAGTCAGCCTGCGGGGTAACGTTCTCTGTGAACAGCTGACGGTCAGAACGGGCTACCAGCTTCAAGTACCCGGTCGTCCAGTAGGGCTGATAGCAGTAATGATAAAGGAACAGATCGACGCTCGGGGTGATCCTCAACTCGTGGCACCGGATAATGAAGCCTGTCAGAATACGGTAGGTGCTGGGCACGAACTGAGCGGGCAGTACAGCAACCCGGCGTAAGAACTCCACTATGAATGAGTGGAGAGGGAACCGAAGTCCAGCAGTCAGAGCATCGAGGTGCACTAGCACGTGCCCCGGTCTGTGCCTCATAGGGTGCCGAATGAATCCGGCATAGTATTCTCTTGGTGGGGGCAACAACTGGCTAAGTTGCCGTTCAACATCTTCTGGGAGACGTTGTTTGTGTTTGCGTATGCGATTGAAATGTAGGGGAATGCGGGGTGGCCGCTCGGGCATCCCCTTGTTGTAAACCTGGAGGTCATCTCCCGACAGACATCCATCCTCCTGCGGCTGTTCGGTATGTTTGCTGACTTGAGTATTGGCGGGTTTGGGTGTTTGGGACGAAGAGCCTTCGGCCTGGTTACCAGCGGATGTTTTGCTTTTACGGATCAAAGGCATCTCTTCAGATTCTGAGCTAGAGGAGTAGTACATAAAAACTCTGGAGGAAATTTGGGAATTCTAGAGAGAGAAGGCTTGAGAGTATGCAAAGGAATTCTAGAGAGAGAAAGCTCGAAAGAAAAATGAGAAAACAGCAGGAGAAATTAGGGGAAGCACCTCTCTATAAATAGGGAAAGTACCGCACAACTCCCTAATCCATGAGCAACACGTGGCATTTGGTGGTTACAATTAAATTGGGGCATTTATGTTTCATTTTTTGTGCACGTACCCCGGACGGGCTTACAGAGGATTAGTAAAAGTCACAGGGGCTTGCTGTTTAGAAAAATGCTAAGTCCTAAATATCAACCTGAAGCCCGACCGGCCAACAGTATTGTAAAAGGTCATCTGGAAGAAAAATGCTAAGGCCTAAGTGTCAACCTGAAGCCCGACCGGCCGACAGTATTATAAAAGGTTATCTGGAAGAAAAATGCTAAGGCCTAAATGCCAACCTGAAGCCCGACCGGCTATCAATATTATGAAAGAGTCCAGGCGCAAAGAAAACCGAGAAAACTGCTAAGTCCTAAAATTTGGTATGAAGCCCGAACGGCTGAGTGCCGGGGGGAAGGGGTTTTTTCCTTTAAATTATCAGAACTGTCTAATGCCCGAACGGCGATCAACGGCATTAAGAATATTTGAGCAAGGAATAAGTTAGGAAATTGCTAAGTCCTACAGAACAGGCCGAATCCCGAATGACGAGTACATCATGCATTAAAAACAGAAAAGACAGCACAAAAAGTTTCAGACCAAAGAGGGATATATATTCGTCGGTTCTACTGACCGGGAAGTACAAGCTATTTAGAGAAAAAGAAAATTACAACAAGTAATGAAAAAGTACATATGAATTATTGACTGGGGGCCATGTCATCTCCCTCTTCATCCTCATCCTCATCATCATCAGATGGGGGTTCAGGCTCTTTTCCCGAAGCTCGATCAGCTTCCCGTTGCTGGGCTCGTAGATATTTCTCGAACTGCGCCTGGATGATGTCATCTGTGGGGAGATCAGAGGCCTGAACCGGTCTCCCCAGTTGATTTTGAAGCTGAGTGATGAAGGGACGCAGCAAGACCTGGCCAATTTTGCCATAAAGATCGGAGACAATGGAGTCGTTCCATTTCTTGGCCTCCGGGTCCTTATCCAAGAGGGCCACCCCAGCCGATAGCCGACCGGCGCCTTTGAGGAAATCCTTCAAATACGCCCCAAAGGCGAACGGGATTTGGGCCCTTGCATGTTCATCCTTGATGATGGAGAATTCATCGGAGGATTTAAACATGTCCCGGACGGCGGACAGATCCACGTTCACTTCATAAGGACCGTCCGGGATACTGGATGGCAGTTCTTCGAATCTGACCCGTGCGGCCTCAGCGGCAAGGATCTTCGCCTGGGAAGCTGCGAGTTGGACCCGAAGGGTACCGACTTCAGCATCCAGCCTCTGCTTTTCCTCAGCAAAGGTTTTCCGTTCGGCCTCCAGAGAGGCGATGGCAGCAGCAGCATGTTGCTCAGCAGAAGACTGGGCAACAATCAGTTCCCGCTCCTTGACCAGGCGGGCCTCCCGCATCTGAAGGGTGTACAAGCCCATCTACAGAATACCGTTCGAGAATTAGTACTGGTTACAGAGAATAAAATTAAGACAAAGCGCAAAAGACAACGTACCTTCAGAGCAGTCAGAGCCAAACATTCCTCAGATTGCTCGACCGGCAACTGGGGGAGGGAAAAGTTGTTAAACCAGGAGGAGGTAGACCAGATCTGGCTCGCTGTAGATCCAGCCCTCTCTAAAACCTCATGAACAGGGTCGGATAGGGAGATCCGCTCGACCTGACCCGTAATGTGGTCGGTATGGGTGTCACCGGCATTCGAGGATTCCCCCCGAACGGAGTCGAAATGCTGAGAAAATTGGTGCAGTTGGTCAGAACCGAACCGATCATCAAGCAGCATGGCCTCTAGTTGATCCTGGTGGACCTGCTGAATTGGCTGAGGTTCTGGGAGCGGTTGAGAAGGGGCAGCCTCCTGAGCGGGAACAATGGTGGGAGTAGGTTGAGGGTTCTTCCGGGATTTTTTCCGCTTTCCGCCCCCACCGGCTGCGATGACTCTGCTATCATCCATGGGAAGATCTGGGTTGGGTGCTGAAAATAGGCAAAGAACAATGTTAGTATCGAGCGGCCCCAGCGTGTGAGAAACTAGAAAAAAGAATAAAGGAACGTTTCTCGCACGGGAAGGACCGCCCGGACCAAGGCACTTGGTTTATCAAAACAAGTAAACCCAAGAGAACGGGCAGTACCTATCCCGGCTGTTATAAGTCGTTCGGGGGTCAGATAATTCATGATGTCCATGCATTTATCCTTCTCCACAGCGAGCACGTCCTTGTAGATTTCTTCAGTCAGGACAGGATCAGGGGTTTTGCGGGGAAAAGCATTCCACTTGCGGGGAATCAGTCCGTCCGGGATGGACACGAAGAAAAACCGGTCTTTCCACCCTTTGATCGAAGTTGGGTTTCCTTTGAACAGGATGTGTCCCGTTCGGGAACTAGTGGCCAAATAGCCATGGGTCTGTTGGGGGGCTACTTTGAAAAACTGGTGGAAGAGTTCTAGGGTTGGTCGGGCGCCGGCATCTTTGCAACGACAAATGAAACCCGCCATTGCTCGATAAGAGTTCGGCATAATCTGGTCCGGTACAATTTCGTAGAAATTGAAGAAAGAAATAAAGAAAGGGTGTAACGGAAATCTAAGGCCGGCCTTAATTGAGTCAAAGTGGACTATGGTCATTCCGGGCCTATGACGCATTGGATGAAGCCCGGCTTGCAAACGGAAATCCACCGGGTCAGGGATAAGGGCCGGAATTTCGGCCCTATTGTGAGAGGTCAATTTTTGCCTCCTCTCCCTAATCAATTTTAGGTCAAGAGTATGGCGAGGAACATCGTTGGGACGTCCGGCCGCCATGGAGGCCAATTCGTCCTCAGATTTGGTGTCATCAGAATCTTCACTGGAGGAAGAAGAAGTGCTAGGGAGGTCCTCCGCCTCAGCCCTGTTATTCGTCGCCGTCTCGGTAGAAACACCGGCAAACGGAACTGGGATGGCATCTACCATGGCGGTGTCACGGTCATCCCCATGAGAGGCCATCTCCGAATCAGAAGAATGCTCTGTGAGGCTCATCTCGATCGAAGCCAGAAATGAAGATGGGGAATCCAAGGTTGGGAAGTTACCTGAGCAAGGGAAGCAGGGGGAAATTTGCAGAGGAAACAACGAAGGCCAAGGAATTGCAGAGTCGAAACCCGGAATTGAAGAATTAAGGGCTAATTTATAGCCTTGAAACCGCCGTGTCGAGAACCAATCAGAGAGCGACACATCACTAGGGGCATTTAAGCTAGACACGCGTCTAATGAAAAGACTAAACGACGGTTATCATGATGAATATGGGGAAATGAAGCGGCAGCCGTCAAATCGCAGCATGGGGAACTGATTACTTCTGTACCCCGATCGCCATTCGGGGTATTATGACATTGGTATACTTCCTGATGCACTCACTTCGTTCGAGACATCGGAAGTGGGGGACTTGTGTTGGGATATTGACCTAGAGGCCCAATACCCAGATCGGGAAGGCCCAAGGTATCCGGCCCAAGTAACAGGCCCATCACTCCATGATGAAAAGATCCAGTAAGGAGACATACCGAACGGGGTTCGGCCCAAATAAAGGTTGGCCCAATAAGAAGACATACCGAACGAGGTTCGGGCTATATATCATACTTGGGCCAATTTGACAGCATCTTCAGTACGGACCAATATCCCGTTCGAGCAATGGCCAACCAGCAAGTGGCCAGGTGCAGTTAATGCCAGACTATGACATCAGCAAGTGGAAGCATGGATGACCAAGTCGGTGGAACAACGACCAATCAGCAAGAGGCA